GTAAGGGCCTAGAAAATGTATTATGAAAACGAGGTCTGAATTGCAAACGGTCCATCCATCTAGCTGTCTATCTACCTATCTATCCGTTGTCTAGACTATTCATCCATCCATCCTTCAGCCTTACATCTTTCTGTTGTTTCTCCCTTCTCCCTGCCACACTTTCCCCCCTCCTTCACCCTTTCCTTGCATCCTTGTTTGTGTTTGCTTCCTTTCCTTCTTGTTTGCGTCTTTTGTTTCCAGGTACCTTGGTTCACTTTTGTGTTGTCCCATCTGTCTTTGTTGTATTCCATGTTCAGCATTTTCATTGTTCCCTCTTTTCTTTGTCTAATTGGTTCTTTTGTTCTTAAATTGTTCTGTCCTTCTGTCTCTCCTAATTTGTATTTTTTTTTCTTGTTTCCGTCCTGTCTTCCTCCCACTTTAAATGACTCAACTTTTTGCCTTAGTTTTGGTGTTTTTTTAGTCTCAGTGTTTTCTCCTCCTGTTGTCAGTCCTGATAGAAACCCACTCCCCTATGTTTTTATTCCTTTGTGCAGTATATTCTTGGCACAGGCTTGTCAGAGTATTTTACCATTTCATTATTTGATTGCCATAAATTGTTTTATAATGATGGACAGTTGGCCTTGTCATGTAGACAGCTGATTCATTGCTTCTTTACTTATTGCCAAATGCAAAATGTGTGAAATTATAAAGAAACAATGCAATTGACAATGAAATTGTTCATCATCCCTAATAATGGTAGTATAATAAAAAATTAAAAGGCTAGAAATGTTTTGTAAAGTAATTTGTTACATAATCAATACACCAAATTTATAATCATAGTATTTATTATTGGCAGAGACTTATTATGTTACTACAGAGTACCGTCCTTTACTGACCTTGCTGTTGAACGATGGTAAATTCCTTTTCTTCCTTTTAAGGAAGCTGTGGTTAATATGTTGCAAATGTTTGCATTATTATCATTCATTTGTAGACATGTTTGATTGATGTATGTCCAATATCCGCTTTCGTATATCTGTTTTTGGTCTTCATCAACTGGTTCAATCCCTGGACCAGCAGGATTAAATCTGGGTGGGACAGGTGACAAAGCAGCACCTGCCCCACCCTTTATTAACATCACTATGGTACTGTGTGGGGCCCTTAGCCCCAAACTGCTCCAGTGGAGCTATATGAAGTCAACCAGGGGATTTTATCATGTCAACCAAAATACAGGAGAAACAGCAGCTAAATATACAAAAGTAGAAAGGATTTATGTGTTAAATGTCTGGTGCAAATTTCTTGGCAGGGCTATAGCATGCACAAGTGTAGCTATCTCTGAAGAGCGCATTCTTCCTTTTAGGTTGCATACAACCCCAGAAACAACAAGGTCTTCAGTACCAACACAATATGGCAGGCTGTATGCTGACTGACAGGGAGAACCTGGGACAAATAAAAGCCAGCAAACCACTTGTTGGTCAAAAAGCTTGTTGCTGTAAATGCACTAAGGAAAGCAACTCCTTTTTGCTTCTCTCTTCATATGTTGACAGCTGGCCAGTCAGAGGTCAGAGTTTAGAGAGACTGTAGTGAATTAAGATGAAACTAAAAATGTGAGGAGGAAGAAAGGATTTTGAAAAGTGAGTGAGGCATTTACACCACCGCATGACAGACAGTGCAGACAATCAGAGTATGTGCAGATAGCGTGCACATCCGACTATATCAGGGTGTTACAGGTGGATAGTGTTCACTGAACTGGTATTTTCCTCTTAGACTGGGCTGTTGATGATTCTGACATCACTCCATCATGCTGAGCTGCTCTATGGTGTTGTTTTTGTGTTGCTGGTCCCTTGGCAGGTTATGCGTAAGCACAGACAGT